TGAGGGCGGGGGCCGGCCCCCCGCGTGTGCTCCCCTGGGGCCACGCCCCCAGGTCCCACGCGCGTGCGCGTTCGTGCATGTGCACAGCAGCGTCAGGCCTGTCCTGGGGACAGCACCTGTTCCTCCTCCTGGAAGGCCCCACGGAAAACCTGGGTCCTGGCCTGGGGGAGCAGGGCCCAGCGCTTCTGGGGCCGGTTTCCACTCCAGCTGCCTGGAAGACACGATGCAGCGCGGGAAGCCTCGCAGCCGCCTTAAGAGCTTTTTTGGCTTCCCGAGTTTGGCTTCTGCCGCCCTGTCTGGCAGGGACAGGGCCTGGGTGAGGGCTGCCGGCTCGGGCAGCTCGGCCCGCGGGCGTGCACATAGGTCTCCACAGGGTTCCCACAGGCAGTGCGGGGGCTAACGAGGGGCAGGAACCGGCCAAGTCTGGGGGTGTCTGCAGAGAGTGGAGGGTCTCATCCGAAGTGCCCGTGGCAGTTCCACCGAGAGCAGGGAGGGCTCAGCAGGTGGGCCTTAGGGGGCCATCTGGCTGTCGCCACAGCGGGGACCCTCCATCCGTGCCAGCGCTGGGGTCCTCCGGGCCCTTCCTCTCCTCACAGGGCGTGGAACGCATCGATGAGCCTGGCCTGCGGAACCTGCGTACCACGCGGCACCTGGAGCCGGGCATGGTGCTCACCGTGGAGCCGGGCATTTACTTCATCGACCACCTCCTGGACGAGGCCCTGGCCGACCCGGCCCGCGCCTGCTTCTTCAACCGCGAGGTCCTGCAGCGCTTCCGGGGATTCGGGGGGGTGAGTGTCCACAGGCCCCGCGTCCGAGCCCCCCTGGACACCCACACGCGCACACTGCAGTGCGTCACCCCTTTGTCTCGACACAGGAGCCCTAATGGGGGTGGGGATGATCTTCACTTCCTCCCTTGAGAAGGACCCAGCATGTGCCTTCTCATGGTCTGTCACAGACCGGTGCCTCGCTCCTCAACAAGACAGATGCAGATTCTACAAAACCCCTGCCCACTCTGGGGCCCCCGTCCCCTGGGCAAGGGGCAAGGACTGGGTGGGCAGGTGGCAGGAGCAGATGGCCCCATGGGAGGAGGCTTCGTCTCAACAGCCTCCCACGGAGGCCTGGAGGCCAGCCCCTTCCATCACAGGCAAGATAGACCGTTCCTTAGAAGGGGCTCCCCCAACCCAGCGGCTGGTCTGAGCCTCTAATCTGGTGTGTGAGACCAACTCAGAAATAGTGTCTGTCATTCTTTTTTTCCCAGAGTTTTTCTTTTCTAGATTTATTTGCCAGCATGCGTGTGCACACTCACGCACCCGAGTAGGGTGGAGGGGCGGGGGGGGGGGGGGAGAGAGAGAGAGAGAATCTCAACAGACTCCCTGTTGAGCGTGGAGCCCGACACGTGGCTCAATCCAGGGACCCATGAGATTATGACCTGAGCCGACGCCCAAGAGTCGGATGCTCACCCACTGAGCCACCCAGGCGCCCCATGAGTGTCTGTCATTGTGATGCAGGTCCGGATCGAGGAGGACGTCGTGGTGACTGCTGGTGGCATGGAACTGCTCACCTGTGTGCCTCGCACGGTGGAGGAGATCGAAGCGTGCATGGCAGGCAGTGACAAGGCCTTTACTCCCTTCTCTGGCCCCAAGTAGAGCCAGCTGGGAGTGCCCAGTGGGACCAGGGACCCAGCCTGGCCACCTGTCTTCACGATGGGCAGCCTCCTGCCTGGCCCTCAAGCAGTGAGAGATGGGTGCTCAGAAATCCCATGGCTGCGTCCGTGTTTGAGCTTGTGGTTTCCTGGGGCGGGGGGGTCTCTTTCTTAACCTTCTGCAAGATCACACCTGAATCTGCTCTTACTCTGCTTGAATGACAGTGGCTTTTAAAGTGCTAATGGAAAAGAATTCTCCTTAATAGCGACTAAAATGTGTCTTGTTGTCATTTGCATTCTTCTGCTCTGGGAAGATCCATTTCCAGTGTTTCCTCTCAAAAATCAATGTGCAGAGTCGAATTTGCAATAAAAAGTTTCCCAAAATGGTCCTTTGTGCACGGCTTCCTCTCTGTTCTTTCTCGCTCGGCAGCGGAGCCTGGCACGCACGGACCAAGAAGCTGACGGGGCAGAGAGCCGGCACAGGCGTGGAGCCACCCTGCACGGGCCTTTGCACATGAAAAGGTGAACTGCTAGAGGAAGAAGCCTTTTCTAGGACGGGGCTACTGCCTCAAAGCTAGATTTCTGAAGGGGGCAGAATTTTTATGCAGCACTTAAAGGCATAGTTCTATAAAATGTGAGACTTGCAGGGATGCCTTGTCCTTGATGCCCTTTTCATAGCAAAGCTGGCATCCACCTGAGCGACACGGCCACCTAGGGCAGCTCTGTGGCAGAGGTGAGCCTTCTAGTGGCTTCCGTTTGCGGAGACCATTTGTCTTCCCTAAGTGTGAACCCACGGACCAAACTCCACTCAGGCAGGGAGTGTTCTGGGGCCAGCTGGGCCTGGTCCCCGCCGAATGCACAATGCCGTCCTCCCCTCTGCTGGCCCAGCCCCCCACCCCCCACCCCATCCCGCAGCCCTGCCCCCGCCAGGAGCGGGGGAGCTCGGTGAGAAACCGCTCCGGGCCTGTCTCTCCACAGGCCTCCCATCCAGGACTTTCCGGGCCAAGGTGAAGGGACACCAGAGATGAAACCACAATGGGGTGAGAAACTCTGTAGCCCAAGCTAGACATTTTGAGAAGTCACTGAAGCGTTGAGGCCAAACCGATTTCTTCCTGCGGCAGTAACACAAAAGTGCTTGCAAAGGGACCACATTAAAATGAGACCACCTCGGTTCCAGATCACAGTTCACCTGGTTTGCTCCTCAGATCGATCACACCCATTTTTTCAGGTTTGCTCCAGTGCTCAGGCAGTCCCTAAGTTATTTGTGACCTTGAGCGGTTTGCAGTGATGGACTTGAGTGTCAGGAGTCTCCGTTCACCGATGTTTCTCTGCCCCGGCTGCACCGGCGGGGGACACGTCCTGGCGTCCGGGGTTTCGGCTGCCCCCGCCCCTGGATAAACCCGGGTACAGTGAGGCTAGCGCTCTAAATGGACAGTTTCGTTTGTGTTAAGAAACGCAGCTGGCTGTTATCACATCTTTCTCCTTCCTTTCCTTCAGACGCCTCATACCAAAACTGCCCGTTTCACGTACATTTTCTGTGATTACCAAGCAAGAAGGTCAAAAGAATAAGGGGAAATCCCGTTAACTACATGTTCTTTATCACAGGGGGGCACTGGGAGCATAGGTCTGACTGGTCTCGCCCCAGGGCGGTGAGTCAGGACACCCTCCGGCGGTGTGGGGCCCTGGTGGCCGCCAGAGCCCACTCTACCCCGTGGTCCTGAGGGTGCACCCAACTCCTCATGCCTCCAGACCCCTGCAGAAATGCACACAGCTTCAGAAACACCTCAGAGACCCTTCCAGAAAGTGGAACAGCACTCAAAAAGCCTTTCTGAAACCCTGGAAGGGTCTGGGTATTCATTCAATAAATAACTGAGCAGACGCTCTGTGCTGGTATAGTACAAAACCACCATCCCTGCTCTCCGAGCCTCGGGGATCCTGAGAGGCTTCGCCTTGAACAAGCAAGCACAGATCTCTTCACCCAACAGTGCCGTGAAGGAAAGGCTGACCTTGTCTAGAAAGCCAGGGGGCTGAGACAGGAAGGAGTGAAAGGGAAAAGCGAGACAAGATGAGGCACCCAGACGTGAGCTGTTCAAAGGCGGCCTGGAGTAAAACGAGTCTGGAGAAGCCCTGCAGCCAAAGCAAAGTAATGGGGGACAGAGGACGAAGGGAAAGCAAGGCCGCAGATGAGGGGAGCCACGTCACAAGGAGACGGGTCTCCCTCTGGGTGCAGTGGGGAACGACAGAAGGTCCTGGAGAGCAGGCAGTGGTCCAAGGAGACCAAGTCCAGGCAAGAGAGGACGACGGTTCTGTGCGGTGGGGGAGGGAGGGGAGCACATTTAGGGGGAAGAAGGGAAAGGTGGCGGAGCGGGAAGGCCCGGCCAGATGTAGTCATTTGGGTGACACGGAAAGTACAACAGGCCCGTTCGCTTCCAAGCCCAATTCTGCACCCCGGACCCTGCGGGCACCGCCACATACCTTCCAGGCCCAGAGTTGTGCGAGGAGTGTGCATGGCAGCACAAGACTATTCGGGGTTGGCGGTCTCCTTCGAGGACACGTACAATGCACACGGACTCTAGATACTCCCAGGCAGTGACAGAGGTCCAAAGGTGCTTTTATTGGAAAAAAAAAAAAGCTGGCACCTTCACAAATCATCTCTATATAAAATTCCCCAAGACAAACTATTTATGGACTCCCAAATTACAACTACTTTGTGAAAACCAAATAGGATGCACTACCCACAGAAATAATTACCGCACTACGATTGTCATTAAAATGCAGTAAGTAGAAACCTATTTCCCAAGACATGAAAAAAGCTGACAGATCACAGAAGAGTCTCTAAATGACATCTTCCCTTGAAACACTCCAATCAGCATGGATTCAGTATTGCCTCGTTCATCTGCAGAGACACCCTACAACATCACGTCAATGAAGAGGAGGTACACACTATAAACTGTGCTGCTAGGGGAAAGGCCTTACTTCGACCTTCCCGAGGCCTCAAAGCCTCAAGGACTCATCTCTCCTACCACCGTGTGACTGGAAACGACACACTGAGCCACGAGGCGCCCGAGCAGGCTGCTGCCTTCTCCGCCCTCGTCCGCATTCCCGGGTTAGAGCGCGTGACAACGAACAGCACTGAAGAGGCCCTCTGTATTCAGAGGAAATGACGTTCCCGTCCATTCAGGGAAATCTAGGCTTGGACAAAAGCACCTCCTGCCCCCCCCCACCCTCAGCGACCCTCACCCCTGCCCTGGGCTGGGACAGCAGGGGAGACGGCCACCATCTGCCTGCTCTTCAGAGCTCTTGCACATCTGTACTACTTCTTCCTCGGGATACGAACAGAAAGAAACCCACAAGGAAATACAGTCATTATTCCAATGTTTTTTATTTCAAATTCATTGAAAGAAATAAAATTATATTTAAAAAAATAGAGTAATCTCACAAACTGAGGAAAGCCAGGAACAAAAAGAACAAGGTAAGGACTTTTTCCTGAGAGGCATCTCTAACAGCTATTAGAATGGACTTTCTCCTCCCTAGCTTTTGTCAAACAAAAAATTGCTTCCTATTTCTAAGGCATCAAAAAGCACTCTGAGTGCTAACTGGGTTGTCCAGGTATGTTTCAAGCCCTCTAATGGCGGCTGAGAAATACCAAAGGCTGATTTCTTTTAATACCAAATACTAAATTGCACACACTATTTTTATGTAAATTTCAGAATTTCACACTTGTGACCTAAATTTCAAACATCTGGTCATATTTTATCACTACCTTACTACCTCTTAGTAAGAATGTCCAAAGTGTCTGAGCTCACATTCCAGTCATCGCAAGAGGCCAGATGGTAGAAGAGCTGTTCTGATCTCCCCACGTGCTGCCAACCCCATCCACAAAGCACCCATCTCGGATGACTCAGAGGCAACTAGACGTTTACACTAAAGCCTACTCCTAAACCACTGGACCTGCCGGCAAAGGCAGATCAAACCCTAACGGTGCATACGTAACCTACAGAACAGAAGTTACAAAAGTCATCTTACAATTCCCAGAGCTCTAAACTTACCCATTCCCCACACCTGGTTTCCCTCAATTTGATACTGATAAATCTATCAAACTGCAAACTTTCATTCCCAAACACTTCAGTAAGACAGTCAAGACAATGGTTTAACATTTTTGTTCTACGCATACATGACGGCTTGTGCTAAAGTTCCAATTTGCATAGGTAACAGGAAAGCTTGAATCAATTTTTCAAGTTTCAATCTTATGTTTGGATTTGAAGTATCGAGCGCACACCCCTGATGATTTCCCTAAAGCTTCTTCTCCAAGACAGTTAAGTCAGTTAATATAATTGGTAACCATAAATTCCATAGGGACATCAATTTCTGAAAGACATTTTTTTTTTCGTAAACAAGAGATTACAATGTCTAACACCTTTATAGGCGCTTAACGATTCAAGTGACCTAACTGTACCTCTAAATAGGTTAATTATATAACATCAATCAGCTATGAAAGATTCAGTAGGATTCTGCGGGTTACCTCCTAGTCAGTCAAAACACCTATCGACCTAGAAATAGACTGATACTCCAGCCAAAGTAAACCGGTATCAGACCCTAACAGAAACCTCGATCCTGTCTCCTGGCTCTCCGGGGAGCTAACCCTCCTGGGACAGTGGCTCTCATGGAACAACACTGGGTTCCAGTCACCAAGGCCCAGAGGCTTTGCTGAGTTGCAGGTCACGGTGGTATTTTTACCTGCCCAGACCGCACTTTTGCACCAACCCAAGGGTGCAACTTGAGTCCCATCCTGGTTACACTGTTCCAGGTGCTAGTAAGAAACAATATGGCCAAAAACTAAGTGACCATGTTCAAATAAGATACCTGGTAACACAAACTTTTTAATCAGATGTGACTCAGTCTCTTGTCACCAGCCTAGACACACACACAAAGAAATACACGAAAGCCAAAAAATCTGAGCTAGGACTGTGCTAAAAAAAAGAAAAAAATCAACAAGGACAATCAAAACCACCAACACTGATATAAACCAGACCCTAGCAATCACCGACTTTAGCGACTGCCATTTTTTAGTCTCAACAAAAATGTCAATATCCTGAGTTTTATCAGTATTTTCTTTCTAAAATAATTTATGGGACACAAAAGCATACAAATGAACAAACAGAAGCAGTGGTACAAAAGTCTAGAAGAGCCCACTAACTAGAAAAAGAAACGTCACAAAAAAATATAAAAAGATGTACTTAAGTGAAATAAATTAAAGGTTAAACCTTACGCTTTCAAGTTTTCTTAGACTGTTATTTTGGGAGACAGCAGAGTTGATGACATCACTTTTCTAATAATGACTTGGTTAAGATCAAACGCCAGATGATCCTTCACAAGAAATTTTTGCCTTTAATAATCATGGCCCCACTGAAGATATCTGGACACAGGAGAAACTACCTAAATCCCAATCGGTCAACTGTTAAGGCATGTCTACTAACTTGGCTGTCAAAATGGTATTTTAAAAATATTTACTTACTTGACCAGCATCTACAGAAACAAAAATTGTAGTTTACAGATACAAGTTTCTCTAAACTCTTGGGGGTTTTTCGTTGTTAGAAAACAAAGTAATGCCAATCCAATAACCCAAAGGTATCCTGAAAGCATAATTCTAATATGCTTTACCTTTATTTTTAAGAAACCTATTTGCCTCATAATCATTAGTATTTTTAAGCCACTGGCTGTATATTGCCTTTAAAACGTAATGGAATTTACTTAACCTGGCACCGCTACTCAAAAACTTATACTTGTTAGGGGAGAACAGTACTAATTAGGCTAAAACAAGGTTTATGTTATACATAAAATCACTCCAAATTACAAAGTGATTGATTTCTATAGCCCTAAGGATTTTTAATACATAATTTAGAAAAAAACCACAAATAGATTAACATAGATGGCATTCAACTTCTCTTAGTCTAATTAACCATCTCCAATAAAACCAAGACCGTTCTGCGGGACCTGCCAGTTCCCCATTCCTTTTATCAACCTACAAAAGAAGCATTTCTTGGGAAGTGAGGATTTATTAAGAATATCAAGGTCCAGGGTCTTTTTTTTTTTTTTTTACCATATACCTTAAAAATTTGTTTCATCCCCACAAAAAAATCTGTATCATTTAAAACTAGATACTCAAATTACATGGCTAACATTCTTAGCTAATCAACTCTTCAGCGCTGATTCTAGAAAACAGCCTTCAGTGGGTCTCCGAATAATGGGACAAGACAAGGTTCGGCCGTCGATACGAGTGACGTACATAGTCACACCTTTAACGTTCATGCCACAAGGCGTGAGGTTTGGGAGGGGTGAGGTCTACTGCCCTGCGTTGTCAGAAGTCGTATTCTCAGTGCTAGGGGGTGGCACATTATCCGCAAGGTTGTGTGCGTGCTCAAGAAACAAATCTTTCAATACGCTTAATTCCTTAGTCAGCAATTTAATTTTTGCTTCCAACCGTTCATTCTCTTCTTTGAGCTGGTTCACTCTCTGCAGCGTGTCCTGTGCTTTCTGCTTGCTTTTCAACCGGCTCTTTTTCACAGCCATGTTGTTCCTCTCTCTGCGCTGACGATACTCATCGCTGTTGCGATCCATGGGCGAGCTCTTTTTGCTTTGCTTGCTTGGGGCCACAGCCTTGCCTCCTCCCCCGGGGCCAGCAGGCACCAGCTGAGGAACCTGTTGTAAGCCGCCGGCAGGAGCCTGAGTATGAATAACACTTATTCCCGGAGCACTATTCTGCTGGGCTATCTTGCTCATTTGGGCGCTGTCTCTTGCTGACACAGAACAGGCAGAAATGAGGGCAAGGTGATCAATGGTTTCCACACTAAGCTGCCAAGAAATCTTCACATGCACCTAGTTAAAAAATAAATTGCATTAAAATGTTTGAAATGACAAGATCAAATGAGATTAAACTTGCATGTACCTAACAGCAGGCCAACATTAATTGATTATGCGGAGAAAAGTCTACAGCAACTGCCAACTGTTCCAATGTTTCAGAAGTCTAAATCATTTAATTTAGAAAGGTAAGTTAGTACAGGAGCACCATAAGGCCAAATTCAGCCCACCTGCATCCCTGAGGGTACTGCCCGTCTGTGATTGTTATCAAAAATGGAAGGAAAAACAAAAGAATACTGCTAATTAGGTAGCAGAGAGGAATAGCACTTGGCCATCTGCCAGAGAGAAATTTGAGCTGTTTGGGTGAAACACATAAAACCTAAGTTCAATTATGATAGAAGAGACACCTGCAAAGAAAGGGGGACAAAGTTTCAATTGTTGGCTCAGGTCAAAACAATCCTGCGGCAGAGTGCCCGATCTCCACGACTCATCAGGATCACTGCATGCTCCTTACACCAATATGCAGAGACCTAAGTCACCAAGGACTTGACTTTTCTCCCGGAGTACATCTTTATGGAATATTCTGAAAAGACTTCCTGGGGGGGGGGGGGGGAGGGGGCTTTTGTTTTGATTTTAATGACCTCAAAGATAGTAGTTTACATAGATTTCTTAAGTTAGCTTCTTGGATCAGAGATTTAGGAGCTCTGGGACCTCCAGTGTGCTGCCCCATCCCACCAGGCTGCTTCTAACAGTGGTTTTTTTTTTTTTCCTTCTTGACATAATTTATAAACACATCTCAACACAGGCAACCTGAAACCACAAGGAAAGAAACAAAAGCCCTAATGATGCACCCAAGGAAGAGCAAGTATAGGGCTGAGGCTAGACAGAAAGACCGCGCCGGCACCCACTTGACAAGGGAGACATGGCTCAGAGGGAATGCCAACTCTCGAGTGTTCCTGCACTGCTGCCCGTAGAAATGAAGCCACAGTTTCAGAAACTAGTCATGCTTGGATTTTACTATCAATCCAACTAGGTCATTACAGCTGCCTCAAGATGTGTCAAAAGCATACCTATCCGATCATGAGGCCACTTCAAGACAAACTGATTCAGCGAATGAGCCATGTCCACCACAAAATCATAGCACTCTTGGAAATTCAGAAAGCAGTGTTGAAAACAGGTTCATAACTATCCTGTTCTCTTTTCACAAAACTGCTAAACCTACATCAGTGGATAAAACCTGGAGCCAGAATTATGATGCCTCAAATGAGTACATCTCACAACTCTTTAAGAAAAACTCAGTAAACACCAGTAGCTTCACCCAAACCTTTAGCCAGGTCTGCTTTTAAAAATCTTTCCTTTTAAAAAGTCCGTATTATCATTACTTTCAATTGTTTTCAAAGCCATGCATGCAGCCCTGAGTTGGTGGGTCATCTGTTCTCACTCCAAAAGTACAGCAAAAGAGAAAGCTTCCTTCCAAACCATGAATGGATATCTACACAGAGTCTATCTTCAATAATGGACATTTCACAATCTCCCTGGATAATTTATTATGTTGCCTATTTTTTTCTTCCAGTTAAACAGTGGCAGTTCAGTATTAACTTGGGCCACCTTACCACTAATAGTGGCCACCTACATTATTGCTTATTTATTTGGTGTAAAGTGAGCATAAGAATTTTAGTCGACTTTTAAAAACGTTAACACTTCTCCGGAGATTATCTCAACTATCATGATCATGGTCATCTTATTTAACTTTTTAAATTTTTCATATACCAATTATGGTTTTAACCTTTAAAGCTAACCAATCTCTAGAGACAGCTCAAAGAGAACAATGATCCAAAAAGCACAGAGCAGGAACCAGGTCAATTCTTGTCTTGGCTCTGGCTCCCCCAGTTTTGCTCTGGACCTATCTCTTCCCCTCTTTGGGCCTCGACTTCCCCATCTGCAAATGAGGGATATAGAATGGTAAGATGCCTTCTGACTCTGAAAATACACCATGAACTTCAGTCACTAAAAACTCTTTTCTACCCCTTTATGCTTTGCTTTTTATTCCCAAGTCACTAAAAACTTTTAATACAGGCTCCAAATTCAGTGATGTTCATGCCCATTTTTGTACCCGAAGATATGGGAATGGGGAAGAGCTCTTTTACCTCAGCCTGACTCATTCCGGTAGGGTACTAGAGTAGGGGGGGACTTTGAAGATGTACTCATTGCTTGAAAAACAAAGAAACTATCAAATTGGTAAAAATGTAAGCAAGGAAACTTGGAAATAATAAAAATAATTCAAAAATGTTTTTTTATTTAAGTTCCTCAACCAAAACCAAGGAAGTAAGTTTTAAGTGAAAAAATATCCATTAAGGAGAGTAAACCAAGTAAAGGGGGGGGTCAAAGGGCCAAATGGTCCAAGAGAGTGAACTCCAGATTATCAATTGTGTTTTTACACAAGCAAAATAGCTGCCTCCAAAGTTACACATTTCACAGTTTCCACTGTCATTTATGCTTTTGTTCCTTCCATACTGAGCACCTACAATGGGGAAAAAAATTAGTTTATTTCAAATCTGGATATTCAACCCTAAATGAAAGACTGGCTCCTATGAGGACAAATACTACCAAAGTTCATTCCACAGGAAGCAGGGTGGTGCCTCGTTTCCTTAGATGTGAATCATTCAGGCAGGGAGCAGGAAAAAAAAACTGAAGAGCAGTAGTTCTCAAAGTGTGGTCCCTGGACCAGCAGCAGCATCATTTGGTAACTTGTCAGAAATGCAAATTCTCAGGCTACCCCGGACATAAGAATCAGGAGCTCTAGGAATGGGGCTGAGCAGTCTTGTTTCAGAGGGACCTCCAAGTGATTCTGTTGACACTGAGGTTTGAGAGTCAATGCTGCAGATTAACAATGGATTTTTTTTTTTAAAGATTTTATTTATTTATTCATGAGCGACGGGGGGGAGGGGGAGAGGGAGAGAGAGAGAGAGAGAGAGAGAGAGAGAAGCAGAGGGAGAAGCAGGCTCCCAAGGAGCAGGGAGCCCGATGCGGGACTCGATCCCAGGACCCTGGGATCATGACCTGAGCCGAAGGCAGACGCTTAACCATCTGAGCCACCCAGGCGCCCTAACAATGGATCTTAAGAAAGACGGTCTGATTGAGTAAATTTTTTTAAAATTCAAATTTCTCAATTCAAGTAGTGTTCATTCAAATCAGTAACACACTGAAAACTCAGAAAGGTTAGAATGAGTAAAACAAACTTCTCTTAAGTTTCATTTGGGAAAGTAAACTTGTTAAGAATTTTCCTAATCCGCCTGTCACTTTTTTTTCCACGTTATATACAACCAAATACTTCTCCCCATGCTCCCCAAAATAAAATTTTTTTAAAAAAAGATTTTATCCATTTGAGAGAGAGAGAGCACAGATAGGCAGAGTGGCAGGCAGAGGGAGAGGGAAAAGCAGGCTCTCTGCCAAACACGGAGCCCGACGCGGGGCTCGATCCCAGGACCCTGGGATCATGACCTGAGCCGTAGGCAGACGCTTAACCAGCTGAGCCCACCCAGGCGCCCCCCACAAAATAAATTCTTAACTCATATATCCTCAGTGAGCATCTACACTCCAAAATATTCACAGATGTTTCTCCGTTACTCCCAATCTGTACACCCACCCACCTCCCAAAAGAACTTACAACCACCATCCCTCTCCATCCTACCACCACAGAATTACCTCCGGCTGCCATCATCTCCCCAGGGGGCACTCGTCCCTCCAGTTTAGCAGAGCACCCTCCAGCCACTGTCGCCAGACCAACGGGGCACGGAAACCTGTGCTAGTGTCCAGCATCAAACTGAAGGTATTCACTCTCTCTCCAGCCCTTGCTCCCTTACGCTTCACACCTCAGTAATACCGAACCACTACCAATCCCCTAAATGGTCATGCTTTCTCTTTTCTTTGTGTGGCTGTCCAATTTGTTCCCCTAGTTTCTCTGTCAATGCCAGTTCTATATTGTGGCTCCCTGTAGACTAAGCTAGAGGCAGGACTCTTATCTTCATATCCATACGCCCAGCATCTAGGGCAGGGGCTAGCCATAGAGTGGTGGTGCTGGAGAAATATTTGTCCAATACTGGCTCAGAGGCTAAGAGAAAACATTTATTTTTATAAATGTCCTATACAGAAATGATATTCTCTAGCATTAACATCTCTTAAAACAACCACAATTAAATCAAGAGTGTTAGGAAAATATTATAGTCTTCCAACCCTAAGTTCTTGGTCTTTCTTAAAGGTGTACAGGAAAATAAAAATACAATTCCACTTGATACTTCGAGTGCCCAGTCTATACAATGAACATTTCTTGTCTGGTCTTTTCTTCGTCTCAGTTAAGAACCTTTATTTTCTATTTAGCCAGTTATGTGTTCCCATGAATAACCTCAAGTTCTTAGGTATGTTTTGCCAGGGTCTGACAACTCTACTATACGTGATGTCAAGGTAAGCAAAGTCAATACATACCCAAATGAGCAGGATTTCTATTTAGTTGCCACTGCTTGCTTCATGACCCAACACGGGGGTCCATGAAGAAGGGTACCTCCCTTTGGGGAGTACATGAGTGGTCCACTGGAGTATGGAGAAAATATACATTCGTCTGTCTTTTTTTAACATCATCTTTTTAATTTTCCTTTGGTAGGATTTACAACATACAAAAATAAAACAGTACACACGTTGTTTATAAATATACCCCTATGAGGAAATCATACTCAAAAAAAAATTTTAACTGATAGGGCTGGAAAGCCAAAAAGGTAGGAGACCAATGTACCTACAAGAACCGGTGGAAGCACTCACTCCCAAGACTATACAACATACCTGGAATTGTGGCTACCCCCATTTACCATTACTGTGATCAGGTGAGGCAATCCTAGACCATAAGACCAAATTCAGCACCATGAGGTCCTATTTGTCTTTACCAGGGACTCACCATGTGCTGTTTAAGTCCCTACAGAAGAAACCACCTCTCCAAGATCAGACAACTGCTAACAGTCATGTTATGCTCTGGAGAACTTAAAAGATATTCTGAAAAAATGAAATTTTGTTTCCTCCTGTTTTTCAGACAGGTATTAAAAATGACTGAATCAGCCAAGTGCACCCACCAGAAGCAGGAATCAAGAAATCAAAAAATTCTTCAACTCACTGGCATCCTGTAATTACTTAGCCTTGTTTATAGTAAGTTTTCCCAGAAACAGACTCCACTTTAAGAACAGCTCATCCCCCATACTGATCAAGTGGTAATAGCTGACCAGATTTTAACTTTTCAGTATCAAGAACTTTAAGATGCAGAATTTCTTGGTCAAGCAAGCCCTTACAGTATTTTCTTTCCGAAATTTATTTGGGAGTCGCGTTATCCTACCTGAACTTAAGGGCAATCTCTTCACGTAAGGATTCGCTGAGTGTAGGCTCAGAAAGAGAACTACCAATTTTTGTGTAACCCACTAACCTGAAAACCTTTCTGAAACTGACACGTTTTAAGGTGCCAGATTACAACATGAACCTCAGACACCAGGCCAACCAAACAATCAAACCTTCTGACGAATAAAAACATACAAGCCCCCGCGGGAAGAACAGATGATCCTTCCCCCTCAAACATGCATCTCCATCCTCTTCATCTAGACCGCTCTGCTAGCTATTTTCCTATGTTCGCTGCGACAGGCTAAAGAAGCGCTCCGTTTCTGGCCCTTCTCTTTCCTATTCCACTTGTGGTAGCTGCACGTTCATCCAGCTTCGTTCAGCGGTCAAGTGCAGGATATTCAAATTACAGCTCCGTAAGTAAGCACAGGATTAGCTCTCTAAAGTCACGGACTTAAAATTCAACTACTTTCGCTACCCACTTGAACGCTCTACTAACTTCGGAACCGAAGTCTCGCCTCCCCTCACGGAGCGGTCTTGGAGGGGCGGGCAAGATCCGATGTGGCACTACAGCAAGGGACGGTCCACCTACTGCTGTTCTGGGGAACACCCTGTATCCCCAGGGGCCAATACGCGCCTAGCCTGTCACCACTGCCCGCTTCTCCAACAGAGGCCGGGTGCCGGAGGGGGCACACCTCGTCCCCCGCCCCGCCCCGTCCCGGGCCGGCGGCGAGGGGCGCCCGGGGAGAGCGCGGGGGTCTGCGGGTGGCGCCACGGCGCTGGGCCGCGGCCAGGGATGAGCTCAGCGGCCCCGGCGGGTGTTGCCAGCAGGTTGCATCAGACGCCGCGCGGGGCCGCCGCCCGCGCCGCGGGCCGCGCGGGGCCTTCCCGGCCAGCCGGCCGCCTCAGGCCGGGCTGGGTCTCCTCGGGCCCGGCCGGCAACCAGGAGAGCGGCCGGCTCCGCCGCGGCCTCCTCCTCTTCCCTCAGCCCGCCCGCCCGCGGCCTCCTTACCTGCGCCTCCAGCCCGCCCGCCCCCAGGCGGCCTCCACTCCGAGCGGCCCCGCGCGGCGCGGCGCGACGGACCCAGGCCTCGCAGCCCGCGAGTCAGCGAGGAGGAGCGACGGTTACGAAACCGGCAGCCTCCACCCGTTCCGCCGCCGCCACCACCGGCTTCCCCTCCTCGCCCGGGCCGCGCGCGCCGCCGCCGCCACGGCCAATAGGAGCGCCGGCCTGAGGGCGACGCGCCCGCCCCTCGCGACGGGCGGCGCCGCCAGCCAATCGCGAGCGGCCTGGCTGCGGGAGGCGGGCACGTGGCGGAGGCGGTGGCCGAGGCGCGGCGCGGCGCGGCGGGGCGGCGGGGCGGCGGGTGTGGCGGGAGCGGACCGAGGCTCTTGGCACCGCCCGCATCCTCGGCGGTTGGCGCGGGGCGGCGGCTCCGGGCTGTGGGAGACCCGCGGCAAGAAAGGACCTGTGAGAGTTGGAGGCGTTGGGGAGCTGTAGCCTTGCGAAGGCAGCACCTGTCTTTGGGAGGCACAACTTCCTGCGGTGGCTTTTTCAGTCGCCGAAGTCCGTCGGGGTTTCGCCGCGTCCTCGGGGAGGCCCCCTGGGCATCCGCAGGGACCGTCCCGCGGAGCGGCCCACGACACGCGCCTCCCGGGACGCGGGGCGCCCGACGGAGCCTGGGGGGAGGTGCAGGACCTCACGGCCGCGAAGGCAGCTGCCAACTTGCGGGAAAAGTGGTAGAGCCACGTTTTCCCAGCGTAGGCTTAGGACTGATGTCACATCGGTGAACGCTGCGAACTGTGGTTCGTTGTCACCGGAAAACGAATCGGGTGTGCGCGACCGATTCCCGTGTGGCGTCATCCAGGTGAACAGACTGAGAGATGGGGTCTCAAAAAAACGCATGGCAGTCCAGTTTTATGTATCCAATGACACCACAGGAGGATCTGAAAGCGTCTGAAACCAGGAAGCAGCGCGCTGGGTGGAGGACCGAGCCAGCGCGATAGGTTTGATTGCTTCCTCTTTAGCAATTCTTATCGTACAAAAAATAAGAGTCTTTGAAAGAGGAAACATTTCTTCATCGCCCAGGCCAGGGCACCAGTTCTCCGCGTAAGATTGTTTCGAGGAATCAGCAAAGAGATAATAAAAACCTTTGCAAAAACTAAAGATAAAACATAAAATTAAAAGGGCTGCAACTAAAAGCGAACAGCCTTAACCATAGAAACATACTTGGTAGCAAGACATAATACCATCAAAACCACTGTTTCTTTTACTTTGGCCTTCAGTGTTCTGATTTGAAATTTCTTTGATCAAGATTTTAGCACTGTTAAAACTAGACTGTATTTTATTGCTTACAGAATCATAATTTTGCCCTCACCACTTGCCAATCACTTAAAAGTCGTATAGAAAAAAAAAAGTTTTGTAGGTATACTCATTTATCCTCTGGCTTGCCGACCGCTCTGCCAGGCTGCTCTAGCGTTCTCTGTGTCTGGGCAGGTCTTCACACTCAGCAGGTCTGGTCAATGCCAAGGAGACTCAAGTATTTATTTCCTCTTCAGCTGGCAGCTGGCAATTCTTCTACTTAGTTTACAAATATTTTTTTGGTGCTAACTACCTGCTAAGCTGTGGGCTAAGTGCTGGAGATTCAGCAACGAACAAGACAAACACAGCCCCTGCCTACATGAAGCTTGCCCCTAGAGCCAGGGAGACAGACATTCAGTAATTACACAATTTTTCTGTTACCACTTTCATAAATACGACAAAAAAGAAGTACAAGATGCTGTGAGATTATGAGAAGGGAACCAGATGTGGTCTGTGGTTCAGGGAAGGTCTAACAGATGAGTAGGGTTTGCCTAGGTAGTGCAGATGGAAGTGCATGTACCAGTCAGAGGAAATGCCTTATCTAAAGGTTTTATGATGGGAGAAATGTAAGGCCAGAGTAGCGAGGCGCAGTGTCCCAGTGTCCCAGTGTCCCAGTGGAGACTGGTGAAATTAACAAGGCCTGTGGCCCAGGAAGAGTTCTGATTTTTACCCTAAGAGGATAAGAAGCCTTGGAAAGCTTTGCTCTCACCGTAAGGAAATGAGGAGAGCCTCGCCGAGGCTGTCTCTGGGTTGAGGAAATCCACCATGTTGCTCTCTTCCAAGTCACAGGGACCTAAACCCTCATAAGAAAGGTTTCCTGCATAGATCTCTGCCTCACTGATACCTGATCCATATTCTACAAATCCAAAGAGTTTGTAAACAAGTAGTACATTAAAATCCCCTCTAAAGGACTTGAGAGGTAGGATGTCTTGTTAGTTGATTATGCTACTTACCTGAGACCTACTGTGATTATCTTAGTTACCTAACAGGTGTGGACTGTAGTATCAGGCTGTTCTCTCCACAGCTTAACCTCTTAATGGTTGTGTGACCTTGGGAAAATTATGTAACCTCTCGGTCATCTGCAAATAGGGATAACGACAGTATCTACCCAAGAGGATTGCTGTGGGGGTTAAAGGAGTCAATGTGTGTTTGGCCCCCAGAATGGTACCTGCTTGCTACATGGTAAGAACTCAAAAGTAGTAGCTGTTATTACTATGATGCTCATACATGAATTATAAACAAGTTGTATCATAGAATTATAGGATACTAAAATACACTTCAAAACAAGGTCAAGCTGTGCTTCATGTAGCTTTGATGATTCATTCAGCCACTGAATATTAAAGGTGTTCATGTCGACCCTGTAGTGTATCCTAAAATGTGTTTTTTGGAATAGTTCCCCTAGTTACCATATCTTATTTCACTTGCTTCTGTAGAGTAAGGAAAAATTTGGTAATTTCAAATCTTTTATTGTTTAGAAAGCCAGATCAATAAAAGTTTACTATGCAAACTTATGCATGTATCTTAAATGTATCTTAAGCACTTATAATACTTAAGTACTTATCATAAATTTATATTTGGAAAGTTTCTCAAAAATTAATATACCAAATTAACCATCTCTGACAGGAGATCTGGGCCATATCTATATTTTGAGCATTGAGACAATGCCACATGTCTGCCTCTCAGTAGGTATTTACTGCAGTATATTAGCATTACTAGGACAGGGATCATCAACCATTCTGCACTGGTAAGGGCCCTTTTATTGGAAATAACTGCAAACCATCTCTGCCCAGCCTTAGCAGAAAGAAGGACTTGGTCAAAGATTTTAGGGCCCTCCTCATGAAATACCCATGCTATATCAGAACCAAGAACTCAAATGTCTTCACATCTGTCTCTGCCTTTCTGTCCGTGTGTGTGTGTGTGTGTGTGTCTGTGTGTGTGTGTGTCTGTGTGTCTGTGTGTGTGTGCCTATTGGTTTCATTGATCTTTGCACACCAGCTTTCTTCACCCGGTCACTGACAGCCTCAATGTTCACAGTTTGGGTCACTAAAGAAAAGCCGACTCTCTTTTTAAGTCCCTGTTAGAAAAGTCTTAGGCAAGGACTCTGGGATCGTGATGCCCAGCTGGGTCAAGTGCTCATCCCTGAAATAACCAAATGGCCAGGAACAGGTCACGATGCACTGACAAGGCAGCTCGGGAGGGAGTGGCTGAGGCACTTCCCAAAGGAAAAAGGAGTGCTGAGCAGACACATCCAGGAATATCCACTTCACATGGCGGATCACACTGGGGTCACTCTGATGGAGCCTCCTTTGCTCTGGCTGCCTGATTTGTGCTTCCCCATGTGATATGCTCCCCATGCCTGAAGGCAAAACTTATACCTCATTTTACCTTTGGAAGCACTGTTTGGAATCATAATGGCTACGATGCTGAATGGTTGTTTTAGGACACTGTAACTTTTGTAAGCGTGTCCAATGCCTGAAAGAGAAAGATCTGACATGGTTTAAACTTGAACAGTTAGTAAATACTGTGAATGTCCATTCTACAGCCCTTCGCCACATGTCAGACTTCGTTACCCCATGAGTTAAGATGTCACCTGTGCACTTAAGAATAGCACCTGTCGTCTGTGAGCACGGGGGTGGGTGCGTACCATGTGAGCACATGACGATAGGTACAGACCATCCACACACAGGAGGAGAGTTGCATGCATCTGTGGGCATGAGGCTAGGTACCTGCTGTCTGGGCATATAATGATAGGTATGTGCCATCTATATACATAAGGCCATGACGTCATGCATATCAGGAGAGCTCATCTGTATCTTTTGTGGGCCCAGAAGGGTCTTATTCTTATATCTTCACTTCACTGAATAAGCACTGATTACCTGCTACATAATAATTGTAATGCAAATTATTCCAGTGCCTATGAAGCACAAAACTGAAGATAAATGGGTGTTTGGTTTTTGTCTTTTGTTATTGGCTTATGTATGATATATGTGACACCAGTCTCCGTCATGGCAGTGTGATGGGCTTTGGAGACAGACAAGAGTGATGTTGGCTGTATTTAACATAGCTAAAGCTCTGTTCCTCATGGGTAGAGAAGGTTGACAGTACATATCTCATAGAGTTGTTATAAGGATTAAGTAAACTGACATGAAGCTAGCATGGTGTCGGCACATGGGAGGCATAAAAATAATTTGTCCATCCAAAAAGCATTTGCTACCTAGGACCCAGTTCTTGGTTTCTTTTCTTTAAGAGACAGCGTGTGCATGCACATACTGGGCAGGCGGGGGCAGGGCAGAGGGAGAGGGAGAGGGAGAGAGAATCCCAAGCAGTCTCCACGCTCAGCACTGAGCCTGATGCAGGACTGACCTCATGACCCTGAGATCATGACCTGAGCCGAAATCAAAAGTCGGACACTTAACCGACTGGGCCACCCAGACGCCCCGTTGTTTTCTTTTTTCTTTGCAAAGGTTTCTGGGGAAACATCTGAGATTTGGAGAGGCAAGCACAATGTAGCAGTCTTTGTGAAGACAGGGACATCCCCCCCCCACCTCCGTGAATGATCCCATTTCTTCAGCCCAGGGGAGCTGCTTTGATGCCTGGAGGATTTGTGCTTTTGTAAACATCATGAATCAGCCCCCTTGGCTGTGGGATCAACTCTGCAAAGAAGAAGCAGAAGTAGTGTTTGTGCTGAAGGGCCTGTCCTCAAGAGACCTTGATGATGGTCATGGGACCATGTTAGTGCTGCAGTGCCTCATGGTGGGGCTCCAGGAGCTGGCCAAGAAATACTTGGTGAGGGAGGTTGGAGACCATCTCAACTT